ACCGGAATTGGATGGGTGGAAGCTGCCTGCATGGCAGTGGGAGATTGGACGATGTGATGGACTTGTGGGTGTGGAGGCAAGATCATGAACTTTCAACTGGGTGGGGAAAACCGGGAAGTTTTCAGGTTCGGGTTTTCCCAGATGTGCCAACATGGCTCTCTTAATAAATTGGAACTTTGAGCAATACTTTGCCTTGGACTCTGATTTACTTTTGGATGCTATTTGGAACCCTGACAGTCTGATTGTTTTGATGCCACAGTCCCTCTCTCTATCAGAGGTGCGTGTCTAATCTATCCTCCTTTAAGTCACTGTTTCTCAACCTTGGCAGCTCTAAGACACGTGGATGGATGGGAAATTCTGAGACTGGACCTTCTCACATCTTCGAGCTGCTAAAGTTGAGAAACATCACTTGAAGCTATAAGGGAGAAAGAGAGAGGCGGGTTGAACCCCATCAACTATGATCTGGCTATAAAAGAAGGATGAACTGGGAAACATACTGCCCTCCACATGGTGAGCGAGATGGTTCCTTTGCCAAGCTTTCATTATTAGATCCAGAATGAGAAGGAAAGGAGGACTGCAATCACAGAAGGAAACCAGGAAACTTCTGAAGCTGGTAGAAGAGAGCAGATCTGAGACTTACCATTTATCTGGGAGGGAGAGCCAGAATAGTCTCTGTGCCTGTAGCGTTTGTCACTCTTCAGGCTGTGGCTCTGTCGCCCAGAACCTTCCAGCATGTTGATAATTTCACTGCGGTCAATGTTGCGAAGGGCTGCGTAGAGGCTCTCCACTGGACAAAGGACAAGGAAGAACAGGTTAAGAACAGGAAATCAAAGCTAGAGATAAAGGCAAGTGGAGCCTTGCCCAAACCATGGTGGAAACAGCCACTTGAACACAGTTTGAATTTATTATGGTCCTTTAATAGGAATGGTGACCTTCTTTCTTGAAAATGAAATGTTGGCCTTGGTTTTGTGGATTAGAAAGATTTGGTGTTATAGGAATGGCTAGTTATATAAGTAAAGGTAAAGGTTCCCCTCGCACATATGTGCCACTCGTTCCTGACTCTAGGGGGCAGTGCTCATCTCCCTTTCAAAGCCAAAGAGCCAGCACTGTCCAAAGACATCCCTGTTGTCATGTGGCCATCATGACTAAATGCCGAAGGCGCACGGAATGCTGTTACCTTCCCACCAAAGGTGGTTCCTATTTTTCTACTTGCATTTTTATATGCTTTCGAATATCTAGGTTGGCAGAAGCTGGGACAAGTAACGAGAGCTCACTCTATTATGTGGCGCTCAGGATTCGAACTGCCAAACTTTCTGATTGACAAGCTCAACATCTTAGCCACTGAGCCACTGCATCCTTCTAGAAATATATTAATGTGTAAAAGCAAAAAGGTGAGGTTGGAGTGTGTTTATCTTGCATTGAGCTAGGAAGAGATGGAAGTTAATGCCCCTGTTTTTCTTTCCTTTTCTCTTCCCCCTTGTACCTCACTGCCCCTTTTCCCTGTTCCCTTTCCCTCCCTTAATTTCCTATCTTCTTCTTTGAATTTTCTATAGTAAAATAAAAGTGATAAATGTGAAAGGAATGGTGATCTTCTTTTGTGTCAACCCATATACAGATAGTCCTCAACTTATGACCATAATTGAGCCCAAAATTTATATTGCTAAGACAGAAATTTGTTAAGAGAGTTTTGCCCCATTTTATGACTTTTCTTGCCATGTTTGTTAAGTGAATCATTGCAGCTGTTAAATTAGTAATAGGGTTGTTAAGTGAATCTGGAATCTGGATCCAGAAGCCACCACTGGGTCACGTGGCTTAGGGACACTGCAATTGTCATAAATGTGAGTTAGGATGTCAAGCATCCAAATGTAAATCATGTCACCATGGGGGTGCAGCAACGATCATAAATGCGAAAAATGGTCAGAGGTCAACTCTGCATTCTTAACTCAATTCCCATCACTGAGGGATATCCAAAATGGCATCCTAAGCTGAATTTGCTTGCATTCATGTTGGAAACACTGAGGTGCTGCCAGGTTGAAAAAACCCTCTTTTATTTCAATGGCTGTGAATTATGTTCATTCACAGCCTGTAATGAGTCACAAATAGTTTGTAAAAAGTCTGACAGAAGTCTGCCAAAGTCTTTCAGGATAAGGCTGATAAGCACCCACCTTTATCTCCCTTGAAATGCTGCCAAAGACCTAATTGGTAATTAGCTTGCAAAGACGCATAGAGTAAAGAGTCAAAACGGAGCTTCAGAATTTAAACCAACTAGAACGAACAAAGTTGCTTCCTGCAAAGGCTCACATTCCTTTGCTCCTCCTTTATGTCTTTTGGGAGGGGCTAATTGCCTCCAAGCCTTATTCCCATGTCGTCCCTTTTGTCTTAACTGTTCTTGCCTTCTGGCAGCTCTGCGCATGAGCACAATGGGAACAGGCTCCCCCTGTTCCTCTGTCTCGCTGATGTCTGACTCTGGAGACTCCGGAGGCAGTACGTAACTCCCAGATGGCCCCAGCCCCCTCTCTACCTCCGATGCAGAGGCCTTGTCCGAGTCTTCCCCAGACTCCAAGACTGGCCCATGTTCCTCCCCAACCTCCTCACTGTCTAACTCTGCTGCCAACTCTGCAGGCCCCTGGCAGACCATAACGTTTACCTACTCACGATTACTCGCTTTCAAACTGCTAAGTCAGCTGCAGTAAATGACAGGTACTCGCCCTGTCACACAGCAGCACTCGGATCTCAAGCATGGACTTGCTGATTGTCAACCCTGCATCCTAACCATGTGAGCCAACACACTCCTCCTCTAAAGTTGCATTAATTTGATATGAAAGTGCCAATGGCATGGGACTCAACGCGTCCTTCCATTGTTGCATAGGATCTAACCCCCTTGATGGCGAACCTATGGCACGCGTGCCAGAGTTGGCACGCAGAGCCCTCTCTGTGGGCACACACCCCGTCACCAGCTGCTCTTCATGGGTACTGGAGCACCAGAAAATGGACTTTAAAAACGGTCAAAAAACAGGTCATTTTTGGGACTGTTTTCAGGCTATTTTTGAGCCATTTTCAGGCTGTTTTTTTGTGCCGTTTTCAGGTTGTTTTCAGGCCAAAATTGCCCCCAAAACGACCTGAAAATGGCCCCCAAAATGGCCAAAGAACAGGCATGTATGCACTGGTCAGCCGGCCTTTGAGTCTCTGGTGCTCTGGCGTGTGCGCCCATGCACACATGCACATGCATTCTGGTTTGGGCACTTGGTTCCAAAAACGTTCACCATCAGTGATCTAAATCAAAGATATTTTGGGGATGACATGAGCTAAGATGGAGAACATCTAAAGCAATGTTTCTCCACAGGACTTTAAGTCACCAAGGTTGAGAAACACTGATCTAAAGTATCTCTCCGATATATGCAAAAGAGGAAGCCTTCCTTTCCGACCCTCTCATTAATACTCACTGTTGGCACTCTGGCCACCACGGCTGGTCCAAAGGTTCAAGAGAGTCAAGCTCTGCTCCAGGAGGGAGTTGGGATTCTCAACCCGGATTCTGTTGATATCATCCACTCCGAATTGAAGTTCCCGAGCCAGTTCTGCAGGGAATACGAGCCAGTCCAATCAGCAGGGATGGAATGGAATGCAACTAGACTTCATAGCTAAGTGTCTATGGAAGTTCTCAGCCTTCCAGGTCATGGTTGTCCCAAAAGTTCTTTTTTTCAAGAGGCAACTGGACTTTCTGGTTTTTCTTTTGAAGATGTTTTGCTTCTCNTCATCTATCTATCTATATCTGTTTCTGTCTCTTTATTATCTCTCTGTATTCTCTCATCTCTATATCATTTATATCTATCTCTTTATTATCTATCTCTCTATCTCTTTATTATCTCTCATCTTTCTCTCTCTCTATCATCTATCTGTATTTGTCTCTGTCTGTCTGTCTGTGTCTATCTATCCATTTATTATCTCTCTGTATTCTCTCATCTCTCTATATCATTTATATCTATCGATCATCTATCTATCTCTTTATTATCTATCTTTCTTTATTACGTCTCTTTATTATCTCTCATCTTTCTCTCTCTCTCTCTCTCTCTCTCTCATCTCTCTATATCTGTCTGTCTGTCTATCTTTATTATCTCTCTGTATTCTCTCATCTCTATATTATTTATATCTATCTATCCATCATCTATTTCTACATCTATATAATTCTGATCCATATTTTTGTTCTACAGAGGCTTCAGGAACAACAGGGCAACTGCTGGTGACATAGTCCAATACTATCAATACTACGTGGCCAAGAAAGGCCTGAAGAAGAACTTCGTCTGTGGAACTCTGGTGACATCTGTGAAGAGACTGAACTCAGATTCAGAAGAGAGTTATGGCGGTCAAGATTCCAAGGACAGAAGCTCCATGTGGGATTTATCCCAGGGATCCCAAGAAAATGGGAGCAGTCTCTTTCAGGTTGATGGGTTTGTCACCAACATCGCTGGCACCCATCCCTTCTCGGTTTACGCGGAGAATGTGGTCTTGGCCACGGGGACCTATGATAGCCCAACCCACCTTGGGATCCAAGGTGAACATCTCCCTTTCATCCATCACACGCTGTCGGCTCTCGAAGAAGCTGTCAAGAACAAGGAGGTCGGGGTCATGTCGGACCCAATCTTGATCGTAGGAGCTGGCTTAACGGCTGCCGATGCAGTCCTCTTTGCCCATCATTATAATATTCCTGTGATCCACGTTTTTCGGCGGCGAGTAAATGACCCAGCCCTCATCTTCAACCAGCTCCCCAAAACAATGTACCCCGAGTACCACAAGGTCCACCAGATGATGAGGGAGCAGGCCAACCCTTACCCAGGACCGTACGAATATTACGTCAGTCTTCCCGAGCATCACGTCATCCGTTTTTCGGAGGACCGGAAGTGCATCTTTGCGGACAAGAGTGGCCGTCAAAAAATACACCCAATCTCCATGGCTTTTGTCCTCATCGGCTCCAACCCCAACCTCGCCTACTTGCCCAACAATGGGATGGACTTAGCCGTTGACTGCGAGCAGCCGGTCAGTTCCAAGAGGAACCCAGTTGATGTTGATCTCTTCACCTATGAGTCCGTTCACGAGAAGGGACTCTACGCTTTAGGGCCACTAGCTGGGGACAACTTTGTGAGGTTTGTGCAAGGCGGTGCATTGGCCATCGCTAGCTCTCTGCTGAAGAAGGTGAACAAAAATCCTCCTTAATGTTGGTGAATGTGACTGCTCCTCTGAAGGATGACTCTTGGCCAACTTTTGAGAGTGGGCATTGGGTGTGTAGCTGTATTGTCAGATATGAGGTCTGTCCTTGAAAACCTTCAAAACGGGCTGGGCTAAGCCAAGCTTCCAGCCCAAGAAGGTAGCAGCAGGATCCTTGCAGAATGTTTGACTTCTTAATCCCTCTACCTCTGAGAGGTAGAGATGGGTTAGGAAAGCTTGACTAGATCCCATTGTGCAAATCAGGTGTTGCCTCAGTTAAATCTGAAGCAAGTTATCTCTCCATGGATAACCTGAAGATCTCTGTCCACATATTCTGAATTGCAGTGGAAGCATTGTTTGCATCCAAAATAATCCTTTTTGCTCACGTAATGTTGGGTGGTGGGTTTGTATTAAACTCTCAAAATGAATCAGAACATATTTTCAGCAGATCCATGAACGCACAACAAAGAATGGGAAGATCGCCACCGTGTTTCCCCGAAAACAAGACAGGGTCTTATTTTCTTTTGACCCTCCCCGAAATAAGCATTTGGCCTTATTTTCGGGGAGGTCTTATTATTTTTGTGGTGCAGGAGACAGCAAGCGTGGTCACCTCATGGCTGCCGCCATGTTGCAATATTTTCAGGGAGGACTTTTTTTTTGGGAGGGCTTATTTTAGCTCATGCACTCTTATCCTGGGAGGTCTTATTTTTGGGGAAACAGGGTACTTCTCCCGGGCCATCTACGCATAGAAGTACCTTTCTGTTATAAATGGTGAGAGGAAGGTGGATCTGCATCCAACTCAAAAGTCTGAGGGACTCAAACCAACTCTCCAGATACGGAGAATTCTCCATCCATCATGGTCCTTGCTGAGATCTGGAAGGTGCCAGGTTTTTTTTGGGGGGGGGGTGTTAGTCTAGATCAGGGGTGTCAAACTCGCGGGCTGGATGCATCACGCGCTGGACACCCCCACTCCAGCCCCGTTTTAGTGAAGGGGGAAAAAGTTGTGATACATCACTTGACGACACAAGTTTGACACCCCTGGTTTAGGAGAGCTTAAACTTGCATTAGCAAGCAGCCTGGGATTATTATTGGACTAACCTTTGTGCAATTGTGACAATGAACAGTGTCTAAATGACCACAGTTTCTTCCTCTTCAAACATGTATCCCTGCAAATCAATCTTGGATGCTACCACTCAAAATCTCAGGATGTTCTTTAATGTTTCCCTGGGCAGCGTTGCTGAGAAGGTTGACTTCTGTCTGTAAAGTTAAACGTGCTACTAATTTGTAAGCAAATTTTGTAAAATAATAGGTTTTTTTCCCCTTAAAAACAAAACAAAACAGAACATATATTTTGTATATGGCTATTTTTAAATTAAAAAAAAAAGAACCAGATTTCTACAGATTCATTCTTCTTCTATTTGCAAGTAAGCCACTGTCTCCTATGTGTTCTGTTTTGAGGGAAATTTATGTGGATTATTTATTGCTAATGTTACTATTTGGCAGGACACAAGGAAGACAGCTGACGACTGTGTTTGATCATAGGGGCAGATCCCTTTGCAGGTTGTGTTCTGATACATTTAGGACGACATAAAGTATCAGGGATTATTATTATTTTTTTAACAAGAAAAGAATTGCACCAATTTTCTTGATGGCATTTTAGAGAACCTGTTCACACACAACTAAAAGATAAAGGTAAAGGTTCCCCTCGCACATCTGTGCTAGTCGTTCCCAACTCTAGTGGGCGGTGCTCATCTCCATTTCAAAGCTGAAGAGCCAGCGCTGTCCAAAGACGTCTCCTTGGTCACGTGGCCAGCATGACTCAACTCCCGAAGGCACATGGAACGCTGTTACCTTCCTACCAAAAGTGGTTCCTATTTCTCTACTTGCATTTTTTNGGGGGTAGATGCCACCTGTAAAACATCTTATACAAATTTTCTTTATATGCTGTTGGATAGAAGATCATTACAAAGGATCCATGCTAGAACTAAGGAGGTATTTCCTGAGAACAATTAATAGGTGGAAGGGCTTGCCTTGCCTCCAGAAGTTGTGAATGCTCTATCACTGGAGGTTTCCAAGAAGAGACTGGACAGCCATTTGTCTATAATGGTATAGAGTCTCCTGCTTTACTAGGGGGCTGGACTAGCAGACCTTCAGGGTCCCTTCCAACCCTATAATTCTATGTTGAAAGCCAGGAAAGTCGACAACACTTTCTCCTAAATATATCCACCCATCTGAAATATAGTTTATATAATTACAGAATGTGAGGGGCTAAGCTAATGGTTATAATTCCCAGTTTTGGGCATCTATCTGAATGTATGTGGAGCAAAGGGGTCCAATCTTGACAAGTTTAAGACTTGTGGACATCAATATGCCAACTGGGGAATTCTGGGAGCTGAAGTCCGCAAGTCTTAAAGTTGCCAAGGTTGGATGTCCCTGATCCCCAATGTTAAATTAGCTTCTGAACTGTCATCTCTATCTAGGTTTACCTTACTTATAAGTTAAGTCAAAAGGTAAGGAACACATAATCTTTATTGTCACTTTTTTGGCTGAACACACTGGCAGCACTTCCCAGCCTCCAGGTATGCTGGCTAAGGTGTGCAAAAGTTTTGACTCCACCCATCTTCAAGGAGCTCAAATGGGACAAGACCCCCAGCCTATGCAGGTGAGGCTTATATCTCTGAGATGCCCTCCTGCGGACAACATTTCCACCCAGATGGGTGTGTGGTCAAAAATAAGTGGGCAAATATTTCCTATTCTTGCTATTTATCATATAGGTATGATATGGGTGTGGAATTCTATTTGTGCTGATGATTTGTCCAACAAGAGGATTCTTCACTCTCCTTCTGCAGTGAGACATGGTAGAGTCCAAACACAGGTTCATCCTATTAGTGGGAAACACAGCTTAATTGCTCTCAGATTAAACAGCTCTGCTTAAACCTCTCTGCTCTCATTTCCCCATGCTTCCTGGAAATACTGTTACCTCTTCAACCCAGTCAACAAGTAAGTGGGTAGTCACTAAGTGAAGTTTGGGGTGCCAGGTGCAATGAGAAGGAACACAATGCCTCCATGCTGTTTAAAACAGCTCAAAATATCTATTCTTCTTTGACTGCATCATATCATGATTCATGCAGTAGCTTTAAAATATTCCTTACTGGATTTTTATCCTGCTTTTCTGTTTGCACGGGTGGGCCTTCATTTAGGATAACAATTGGGGCCACAACTTCTGTTGCTAAAATGGTTGTTGGGTGAGTTGTGCCGATTATATGACCTTTTGTAAGACTGTATACTGCAGGAGTCAAAAAGAGGGCTGTGGAAATATCTAGAGACCCCCTCACACCCTGGATATAAATTGTTTCAACTTCTACCCTCAAAATGATGCTACAGGGCACCGCACACCAGAACAACTAGACACAAGGACAGTTTTCCCCCAAATGCCGTCACTCTGCTTAACAACTAATTCACACAACACTGTCAATAATTTACTAAGAATGGATTACTATTATTCTTCTCTTCCTTCCTAGCATCTATCTCTCCCCACTTATGACTATAACCATGTTGCTCGCATCTTTACAATTTATATTGTTTTTATTGTTTCCTGGTATGATTTGATTGCATATTAATAACCTATAACTATCACTAAGTATTGTATCTTATGATTCTTGATGAATGTATTCTATTTTATTTCTCTTTATGTACACGGAGAGTTTATCCACCAAAGACAAATTTCTTGTGTGTCCAATCACACTTGGCCAATAAGGAATTCTATTTTTGGCCATGGTTATTTAAATTGTTAGTTGAATTCAGCTTCCTCCATTGACTTTGGGGGGCCAGAAACTGGCTGGGAAGATTGCAAATGATGATTACATGATCCCGGGATGCTACAACCATCATAAATACATGCCTGTTGCCAAGCACCCAAATTTTGGTTACGTGACTGTGGGATGCTGCATGGGTTGTAAATGTGAAATAAAAAAAAGGTAAAGGAATCTCTGTGGATTTTATGTTGCTAGTTGTTGCTGACTATGCAGATTAAAAGAGTTGGAAGGGACCTTGTAGGTCATCTAGTCCAACCTCCCCCCCAAGCAGACCCTACACTATTTCTGACAGAGGGCAGTCCAGTCTCTTCTTGAAAGCCTCCAGTGATGAAGCTCCCATAACTTCTGAAGGCAACTTCTGTTCCATGGGTTGATTGTTCTCCCTATCAGAAAGTTCCTTCTTATTTCCAGGTTGAATCTCTCCTTGGTCAGTTTCCATCCATTGTTCCTTGTCTGGTCTTCGGGTGCCTTGGAGAATAGCTTGACCCCTTTCCTCTCTGTATCGCTTCTCCAGAACCCGTGGGAACCTGCTGGATTTCACCCCTGCCTCTCATGTTTTATTGAATGAGCTACAGTTGGTTGAGTAGTTATGCCCTGACCTATAAAATCATCTGACTTAGAAAGTCCAATGGTTGGTTTCACACAGCATTCCAAGACAAACCATATGAACTACCATAGTTGCCATTCTAACCAAACTTGCCCTAAATCAGCCCTAAGATTTCTCAATCTTAGCAACTTTAAGAAGTGTGAACGTCAACATCCAGAATTCTAGAATTCATGAGCAGCTGGGGAATTCTGGGAATTGAAGTCCACATATCATAAAATTGCCAAGGTTGAAAATCATTGCTCTAGATCTTCTAGAATAGAGCTATAGAATTGTATCTCTGCCTTCGTCTCTGCCATTTTTACATGAGAAATACAGCTAAACAATCAAATCATGATCGAGTTATTAGAGATATTTAAAGGAGTTGGAAGGGACTTTGTAGGTCATCTAGTCCAAACCCCTGCCCAAGCAGGGGTCCCTACACCATTTCTGACAAGTGGCAGTCCAGTCTTTTCTTGAAAGCCTCCAGTGATGAAGCTCCCACAACCTCTGAAGGCAACTTCTGTTCCATGGGTTGATTCTTCTCTGTCAGAAAATTTTTCCTTATTTCCAGGTTGAATCTCTCCTTGATCAGTTTCCATCCATTCTTCCTTCTCTGGCCTTCGGATGCTTTGGAAAACAGGTTGACCCCCTCCTCTCTGTGGCAGCCCCTCAAATATTGGAAGACTTCTATCCTGTCTCCCCTGGTCCTTCTCTTCCCTAGACTAGCAAGGCCCAGTTCCTGCAACCGTTCATCCTGTTTTAGCTTCCAGTTCCCTCATCATCCTGGTTGCTCTTCCCTGCACTCTTTCTAGAGTCTCAACATCTTTTTTATAGTGTGATGACCATTACTGGTCTTACTAAGGCTTTATAGAGTAGGAATTATCTATCGAGCCCACCAAAATGGAAAAGTTGGATATGTCGCAAGTCCCATTTATTAAGGAAGTACACATGATGTACAGCTAGAAGCAGGGCCTTCTCCTAGTGGCTCCCTCCCTTTGATTCACTGCCACGATGGTGGGAATTGCTGAGGGAGTTTCTATTGTTGATTTTTAATGTACACTGCCAAGAATCTCCAAGTGTGATTTGGGTAGTGATATAAGTCTATTTAGTAAATAATAAAAACTATTTTCAAGGCACTCATCACCAGTTGCCTTGT